ATTACCATGCTATTTATTACCAGGTGAAGAGCTTTTAATTCCCTTGTCATGAGCTTTATAAACATCTTCCCTTGTTGTCTGTCTGTGAAATCAATTCCTTGGATATTTGAAGTGTTTCAAACTTTAACTGGCACGTCATGATGTAAGCGACATTACCGCCTGCCTGGACTCACTTCTTCACCTCTCTTCTGCACTGTCTGTTGCTTTGGATGGTTGTAATGTTGACCCCTGGTATTTATTTAAATTCATCCACCTCTATCTCTGCTCTTTGGATCTTCACGACTAAACTTGCCGTCCTCTCACTCACATACATTCACACGCTGTCTTTCTTCTGCTGATTTTCATTCCTCTTCTCTCCATCAGATTCCTCCACCTGCCATTGCTCCCATCTTCCACCTGCTCCCTACTCTCACTACAGATCACAATGTCAGCTGCCAACATCATACTCCACAGACCCCTGCCTGACCTTTATCAGCCAATTTGTCCATCATCACAACCAACAAGAAGTGGCTCAGAGCAGATCCCTGATGTAATCCCACCCCCATCTTGAATACATCTGTCACTTCTATCACACACATCACCACTGTCTCGCTGTCCTGATACATGTACTGCACCAGCCTCACATACTTTTCTGCTCTCTTGACATCCTCATGCAGTACCACAGTTCTTCTCTTGGCACTCTATCATGTGCGCACTCTCGATCCACAGAGAGACAGAGCAACTCCTTCTGACCTTCTCTGTACTTCTCCATCAACACTCTCCAAGCAGACATCGTTTCTGTAGTGCTTTTTATCACCTCTCTTCTTAGCCTAACTTCAACAACTCTTTACCATATATTCATGTCATGGCTCATCAGCTTTATCCCTCTGTAGTTACTAATGAGTGATAAAGCTTGTTTTTGAAAATTGGTACCAGTACTCTTCCTCCTCAGACATCCTGTCACTCTCCAAGATTGCATTAAACAATCTGGTCAAAAACTCCTCTCTCCTAGACATCTCCATATCTCCACAGGTATGTCATCTTGACCAACTTCCTTTCTACTCTTTAGCCTCTTCACAACTGCCTTCACTTACTCCTTATAAATATTCTGCTCTTCCTGATTCATTTTCTATTTGCATATCCACAATGTTAACCAAACAAGTTAGGAATAAAAGTATAACTAAAAGCGAACAAATTCAGCTGACCATTGAACACACCCGGAGGCTTTGTGACAGCTATTTCAGTTTAAAAAACAAATAAAATTGCAAAAAAAAAGTAACAAACAGGACATGAGAATAAAAAACAAAATACAAATATAATAGAAAGACATGAAGATAAATCAAAACTGGAACAGCTCCATACATCTTTGTTCTTCTTGGGGGAACATTTAGAGACCAAAATTACAAGTTCTTGCAAATCTAGAACTAATGAACAAACCAGATAAATAGTTAGGAGATAGTCCATTAGGCTTTTGTATATGAGCACTAAAATAAGCCCACATTTCCTTAGCACCAATGACGAGTATACATCGCTTTCTTTTCTGCTGAGCTACAAAATATTTTGTGACTTCTACTTGTTAATTTCATTGATGCAACAAAACACTATTAGTCGTATATAACATTAAGTCATTAGCTCGGGTATGAAAATCTGTGTTGTTTGTGTTTTAATTTGCAGTTGCACAAAACTTTGGTGTCCAGAGAAACACACTGAAGCAGCTATCATAATGAGCCCATGCTGGTGCTGCCATGTTATGTGGAGTTTACAGCAATCGATGTAGCCTGACTGATAATTAGTTTTTAATGCGCTTGCTGAGGAGTCTCGCCTAAACGACACCTTCTGCACCATTTAAAGTTGATGTGGCACACATTATTAAACGTAAATAGCAATAAAGTGAAAACCAATTTCTGTCCCTATGGGAAGATTTTCCTGTTTCTTTAAGTTAAATTAAAAGCATTCAATAAATTCTTACATTTGCCATTCTGTATCTTTCTTGTATCTTGTATTGAGCTTTGTTCTATTTGTGCCTGTTTAGTTTTCTCTGGCTTCCTCACACAGGCAACCACCTTAATTAGCGATTATTTGTCTACAATAACTTCATGGACAACCGTGTCAGGGTCATTGATGGATCAGCCCGAGGACGTATAAAATTAAAGATGCACCCTTTTTAAATGTTCCGTTTTTGTACCCTGATATAAAAGATTGGTCTCCTTAAGGTACAAACTACAAGCTTACAATGGCAGTACTTTAAAGGGTAAAGCTATGGTGATCAGCTGGTATATTCCCAAATGTAGTGGAAGATACTTTATTTTCTGAGTGTACACAAAGATCTCATCTAGTCTTTATATGCTGCATGGAAAGCTAAACAAGGATATGCTATCCTCGGCCAGTGGTCTGTGTTTGTAAGAGCACGATGTTGAAAAGTAATAGTGAGGGAGTATAATATTAAAGATAAGCAGAAGCAGTAGGCAGTGATGTGTGTGCATCTGCGTGTGTGCAACAGTGAGAAGGAGGGAGGGACATATGTACAGGTACTGATAGTTGGGATCAGTGCACTGAGCAAGATGTTAAGGTCGGGTTTCCTCGCCACCCACTCCCCACCACAGACCATGTCAAGCCTCCCCCTTAATCCCCCCTCCCTGTATAAGCCACTCTCCATACACACACAGACATCCAGCATCCAGCTTGCTACCCATCTACGCTCAAAATCCGTTCCTGTGCAATCTCCTGTGCATCAGCTGCCAAATGAAGTTCCTCTTTAGAAAAAAAAAAAGAGAGAGCCTTGGCTGTCGAATCGTCTGAGGCATCGTGCCTGGCGGCATAGGCAGCCCTTGTGTTGAAGCCAATAATCCGGCGTCAGAGCTTCAGGTGCGCAGAGGGTCGTGATTGACAGGACTCGATATGAGGCCCTCGCCTCACTTGACATTTGGGTTTCATAAGGTCTGGAACAAAAGGCAGGGGCAAAATAATCAGAGAGGGGCACAGGCAAATAAATCTGTTTATTCCTCCTCACCCGCCCCCCTCCCTCACCTCTGCACCTCCTCTGCTCGTCCACATCATGGCTCAACCCTTGGAGGAGAAAAGAGGGAGGGCATGATATTACCTTTTCACAGCCTTGGTGGATTCACGCACCGCGACAGCAGGTCACTTTAGGCTCTGTGCTTACCTGAGATATTAGTTTGTATGTGTGGTAGATAGAGATGTGTATTTGAATGGCTGAGGCGATGTGTGTGTGTCTCTGTGCGCACAATCCCATGTATGTTTGAGGGAGGGGCAGAGACAACAGACAAGACAGAAGCAGACAGACTGACAAGGAAAGTGGATTGATGTGGTGTCACATTGTGGATAGTAATTCATACACCTGTTAGTATGTTTGAGCAAATATTATTATTATTAATCATAGAAATAACATTACAACATATACTACTGAAGCACTGAAATGTATTTTATTGTGTCGTGTGAAGCAGACACACAGATTATAACAAATGTGATCCTAAATAGCTTTAATGGGTAATGATAAATTCAGAGAAAGGGACATGAAATATAAAGTGTAATGCAGCACAAAATGATTAAGATTTCTGGACACAGTCAGTTAGTTCTGCTAAATGACCGAAGGCAGCAGTGAAGAGAGCTGCTGACCCAGCAACAGTGTGTTTCATCTACCCACACTGAACATCTTCTCACAGCCACAAATGCAGGCTGACAGACTATATGCACTTGTTCGCTCAAAATGAATGGTGTCAACTCTGTGTGTGTGTGTGTGTGTGTGTGTGTGTGTGTGTGTGTGTGTGTGTGTGTGTGTGTGTGTGTGTGTGTGAGAAAGAGAGTCTTAGTCATAATATTTCAATTTACTTAGCAAGAGGTGTTCCATTTGGGTTGTACTACGTAAAGGGCAGAGAAATTAGGCAAATGATTCAAGCTCTTTTAGGCGGCATTTATCTGAGCAGTGCACACGTATGGAATACATAAAATGCATTCACCCTGCTTGTACTTATAAAAAAAGGATAATGTCACATGTGTGCTGTATGTTAGAGTGTATGCTGAAATATGAACAGCAGGATTAGCATTTAGGATTAGGAATTTGTCTGAGACATGAGATCACAAAAAAGAGACTGAGAAAACGAAAGAATGGTGGGAGCCTAAATGTGTATTAGCAGCATTTTCCAGCCATAATCAGAAGCCAAAGACAACTTAAGTACATAAAGTACTGACATCATAATTTCACTTCACCAGATTTCGTTTGCCTGCGGTATATTTTAGCTGGCAGTCACAGATGCTACTCACTTTTCAAGTTGAGATCTGAGGGATTTCTGAAATTTGTTAAATGTTTAAATGCAGAAGAAGTTAAAAACAGCCCGACCATAACCAACCAGATTGTTGTTATGTCGTTAAAAACTTAATTTAAAAGAAAAAAGCATAAAATTAGAAATTTGTGTAAATGTTTTTCCAACTAGACATGAATAAATAGAACTGGCTGAATCGCTAATTGACATCCAGCCTGATATTGATGCCACCTTTGTGGCTCTAACATAATCAGTTTTTTATTTGTCCACCCTCTGTATGATTTACATAATGTGAAGTGAGAGATGAGGGGGCTGCATGAGAATTTAATTGCAGGGTTATAGGTGCAATCTGCGGACATGATAGCAGACTGTTTAATAGGTGATTCAATTAGGAAACAGGAGAAAAACATGAGACCAAGGGGTCATATGTTCACTTCTGCCCCAAAGTCTCTGGAAAAAAAGAAAGAAAAAAAAGAACACATAAGTCAACAGATAGTTTTCAGATTAATCCCTGTGACATCCTTTTGTACCAGAGCAGCCCCCACGTGGGGGTCTGCATAAATCGCGTCTTGCTGGATGTGATTGGATAGTTTATAGATGATTGGCAGGGGGGGGTGCAACGGAGCGTGTATACTTTTCTGTCGCTATTGGCTGGCTTTAATGGCCGCTCCTCCCTCGGACCACACACCATTGGCTTTGGGGGTTTCGCGAAGGAGCTGGGAAGTTGTAGTTCTTTACAGCAGACGCACATCTGTAGGGCTTATTATCGACTAATATGAATTAAACTACACGTCCCGACGTCGTGCTACGGGTCCTTGTAATTGTAGTGAATATGTAATTGAGCTCGTACGACTGGTTGCTTCTAAATTTGGCGTCGCGGAGGCAGGCTGCTGTAGTCGGAGAGGTGGTCGGTCGGCGGGTGCTGAATGAGGATGCAAACCTTTAACGGAGACTGTAGGAAATAAACCAATGAACGCGTGACAACGGGACGCTGTGGAGAAGCGTACTCGCAGACAAGTAGGGTCATGGTGTGCGAGATTTTAATGTTTTCTGTGAGAAATCTGAGAAGATAGAGGATTTGTTGTTAGTTCAGAAGGAGAGCGTTAAGCGCTTAGAATAAGGTGCTGAAGATTTTGGAAAAGACTGAGAAAATTTTTGCTTTTATTATTACGCTGAATGGACTTTTGAATTACTGTCTTGCTGTCTCTGGTCAGCCAAAGGTCCGAGGATGTCTCCACTCTTCGCGGAACCTGCATTTAGCCCGCAAACCAGCCACTGACTGACTTTTTACGCACGGAGAAAGCTCGGTTCTCACACACTTTGTTTTCGTGTTTTTCTGGATGAACATTGCAATACATTTTCAATGATTCGAGATCTGAGCAAGATGTACCCCCCGGCGCGGCATCCGGTAAGTACAGAACAGTAGCGGTAAGAGCAGTGTGTCAAAACAGCGCAGATTAACAGTCGCGCCTGATGCGTAATCAGTTTAGATCAAGTTTCCGTGCCACTGCGCGCTCTCACGGACAATTGCGCTCATTGTCAAACTGCCACAGCTGCATGTGTGTCTCTGAGTGTGCGTGAGTTAACGTGTAAGGAGACTGAGTGAAACCAAAAAGGCCATCCTTATCACAGAGGCCTATTGTCAGCTACAGTCCTGCCTGTGTGTGTGTCGTGACGCTGAACTTTGGTGGCTCAGTTCTTCCTTTCTTCCTTCGCACGCTGTTTGCTTTGGATTGAGGTCCCTCATCAGCCGGGACAGCCGTTCAAGTTCACTGTCACCGAGTCCTGCGACCGGATCAAGGAGGAGTTCCAGTTCCTGCAGGCGCAGTATCACAGGTAGGATTTCGGATACGAGCATGACATTTGGGCTGCACTGAAACATCAGCTCGTCAGCCAGAACGGCAGTAAACTTACGAACCGTTCTGCATTCCCCACAATAGAAGCGATTGCGAATTTGATCCCTGTTGTTCTGAGTGCGCATTAGAAGTAATTAGTGGGTTAATTAATCACTTTAATAGCTGGAATTAAAAAAATTAAATGTTAAAAAATGTTTACATGTAAAATGCACAATTAATAATTAATACATACGTTTGGTTTTAGATTATTAAATGTTACCTATAATATTTTTTTTCTTCGTAATTACCTTTTGGTTCTTGCACTTTTGGTCAGTTGAAACCAGTTTTCCTAAGTCACCTTGGATATCAGGAGCTTATACTAATGACCCCCTTCCCACCCATCCACACACAGAAAATGCTAACTAAAGAAATAATAAATCTAAAAGAATTAATTGATTGATTGACTGTGGATTGACTCACTGTAAACCGAAAAACCCGAGATAATGTTAAAGAAATGGTCGAGTTCTGTGCTGCTGTGTACTAGTCATGTATGAGTCACGAAGTATGACCAAATTATTAGGGAAATGTGTGATGCAAGAACATGAAATACAAGACAGAAATGTATTTTTTTAATTTAAGTTTCTATTAAGAAATACAGTATGTTGAGTTTGACATTTATATTCAGGGATGTTATATTGCTATTCCTCTCAAATGCACCATATGCAGTTAAAACAGTGGTAGCCTCTATTTGTCTAAGGTCCATCTATTACTAGTGACTAACCACGGGTAAACCCCCATCAACCTTTGCATGCATGCACATCTCTCTCTCTCTCTCTCTCTCTGCAAGTGCAAGTGGTGTGAAATACTTTTTTACCTGACATGATGAAGTGTGAAATACATTGCTCAGGGCTGAACCACAGGCACAATACCAATGCATAATAATCACCCACTTCTGGCCACCTCATAATTATTACCCAATCACCTGGTGAGATGAACCAGTGGTCCAGTTTGTTGGCCAGTCCTGAGGCTGAACTGGCTGAATGGTGCGCTGCATGCTTAATGCTACAGCCGCACAGATCAAACTCTTTCGTTCCACTGAAATCCAAAACGAGGGTGGCGCTGATCAGATTTTATTTATTCATTTTTTAAAATAGCAGTGAGTCAGACATACTCTGGGAATACGCTACAATAAGAATGACTGTGGTCCCACATGTTTCATGTTTTTTAAGGATGAATTTATTAGTATTTATTATTACGGTAGTTCTTATTTAGAAGAAATGTGAACATGTTATGGACCTTACTAAAACAATGAATCTCTTTGAGAATATTCCCCAACCTTAGAGTACAAATAAAGAAGAGGACACCGTCATCATCAAACTTAAATAAAGTTGAGGTATTAAACATTTAAAGTCTGGCAATGCCTCAGATTTTCAGCTGATTTCAGCATTTATATTTAAGCAAATGTTGAAATTTCTCATTTCTTTTCATGTTTTACATTGCTGTGATTGACGTGTACACGCAAAGGTTTTGATGATGATATAAACCCGATGAGTTCCTTCTTAAAAGATGCACAAAAACTTGAGGAGGAGCGACACACTGGCAGACACAAAAGAGTTAAGCTTTTCCGCAAAATGGATCCTAATGTTATGGTTGCTTTTTTTGTTGATGTTGCAGTTTAGGCTTTTACTCGCACTATAAGAATATATGATGAGGTTTGTGTGGTTGTCCATCGATCCATTAATTACTGCACTACACCTGCTGAGTAAGTGCCTGTGTCTGCAGAGGAAATTGCTGCATTCCAAACAACTTATTTGTCTTTCTTTTGTAGCTCTCATATTTAGAAATGCAAATTTAAAGTGGCAGGATGCAGTGACTTGCCTGCGCAGTATAGTGCAAGTATCATCTCTGCTTTCAGTTTGCTAAAGTCTTGTTTCATTCTCGCTCATCCTCTTTTATCCACTCCCTACAAAATAAGTCGGTTAGAAGTCAGAAGTCAGAAAAGATTTTTGGTCTTTTGGTTTTACTTTTGATCATGTGTTTGCGTGTGGCATGGATGCAGCTTGCTGTGTGTTTGATGGTGACACGTGCTAACAAAACATTTTCTATCTGTCTCGCAGTCTGAAATTGGAATGTGAGAAACTGGCCAGTGAGAAAACTGAGATGCAGAGGCACTATGTCATGGTGAGACAGCTTATTTCATGTGTTGCCATTAGTATTTTATTAGTGTGTGTGTGTGTGTGTGTGTGTGTGTGTGTGTGTGTGTGTGTGTGTGAAAAAAGAGGAACAGAGAAGACATGTTTGATCGACCTTGCTTTTATCTTTCAGTACTACGAAATGTCATACGGGCTGAACATCGAGATGCACAAGCAGGTAAGAGATGTTTTTACTCAAATGATGAAAAGGGAAAAAAAACAACAAAACAAAACATCTGACGTAAACCACGCTGTACTGTGTGACAAAAGGAATGCAAATGGAAATGGGACTTTTATTCCAATTTGTAAGTGCTTTTAAATTCTAAATATCTCACTGGGCAAAGTCCAGGAAACTTGGAGGCACTTTAATTTATTCACGCCATTACATAGGACGGCTTTTAAGCAGAGGACTGACATATCTCAGTTTTCAAAATGTCCCAGCATGCTGGTAATATTCTGGAAGAATATTTTTGAGGTCTTTACCTTTTGTCTTTCACCATTTTCTTTGACAGCGAAGGGTCATGTGCTTCCATAATACAGATAACGCAGCTGGAGTATAGTTATTGCTTTTTCTGGATGTCAAAGACTGCTATCAGTTTACAAAGTGCTCTGAAAAAGTGGCATTTCCAACATAAAACAAGTTACATTATCAATATGTTGATATTTACACACAAAATGATGTTATTCTTATTGCTTGGGGTTTTCTAAAATAGGATTAGAATTCCCAACTTGAGAAATGAGTTACACATCAAAAAACACTCCCTTCACGGCACACATTTAGCAACTTTCTGAATTATTGTAAAGAGTCATAGTGAAACGGGAGCAGCCCAGGATGAGGCCAGAACATCAGCCACCAACATTTAAGAATTTGATCCATTTGTCCCCTGTTCTATTTTCGAGCGGTCGGTTGCCTCGTGAGGTTGAATAGTCATTTCACATGCGAATAATAATTTCATCAGTTTAATTGAACAAGAAAATGGGCTGAAAAATGACTCAAGCGAACGAGGATTTGGCCTTTAACGAGCCTTTACATTATTGCTGCCTTTTTTAAACACGGAAGGTCATTAGCATAAATGTCTCTGTTAACCACACATCAGCTGCCAGGATAAATGAACCACAGCTAACCAGCTACACATTCATTTCCAGACAAATGGTGTGTGTAGTGTGTGTGGCTGTGTGCGCGTGCGTATGTGTGTGTGTGTGAGAGAGAGTGGAAGTGATAAATTGTTGGCCTTTGTCTTTCTGTGTGTGTGTGTTTTCTGTATCTATACCATGTGTTTGCTTTGCTGTGTGTGTGCATGCGCGCGCATGTGTGTGTATGTTTAACAGCCTGTACATACTGTACATGTTTACTCTGTGTGTGTGTGTGTGTGTGTGTGCACACGTGTGTGATTGTGTGTGTTGGTCTGTGTTTGCCTGTAGGCACACTGTCGTTGTTTATTTAGTTTTGTGTGCACTATTTGTGTATTTGTTCACATTGTGCGTGTGCTCCTACAATGTAGACATTTACTTGTGTGTGCTCTAGTGTTTGTTTCTGTCAGTACGCGTGTGTATTTCTGCGTGCAAATGTTGGACACACGTGCAGCTTTTTACTGCCACACTAATCAGACTCGTCTGATAAAATATGGGATCCCTACTATAAATTCCTGCTGGCTGCTGCTGTTTGTGTGTGCGTGTGCTGTGTTTATATGGGCAAGGCAGGCAAAATAAAAAGCGGTTAAATGTGGCCTGTAGCTCCGTGTGGTGCCCAATGATTTCTCTCAGAAGAGTGAATCCCTCATCTCTGCCAGCAGTGTGCGGTGCATGTTTTGTCCTTGTGTGAGGGAGAGACTTTTGGAAGCAAATGATTTTGAGTATTACACCAACATGCCCAGGCATAAATATGTGTTTTCTATCCATGGCATTAAATATGATGATACAAAGTATGTGGCTTGTTGAGTGGATGCTGAGATTGAAGAGAGGGGGGCTGGTGGTGGTGATGCTGAGGGTCGGAAGGGGAGGGCGGAGGACATTAAGGCCTCCACCACCAAGCGAGTCGCTAATTTTGCTTGTTTAGCATTTTCGGAGGGTAATAGGCCCATTGATTTTTGACTCTGCTCTGTGTTTTATTTACACAGAAGGGCCCCGGTGCCCGGGGAGTGAAATGTACCAATGCTCGTTAAAGAGAAATTGACTCGCGGATGGAAGAGAGGATAGGCTGTGAGGCAAGGGGAAGGGGGGCGAGGGATAAGGAGGGAGGAGGGTACGAGGGATGTCGAGCATGGGACTGAGCTGACTGAGAGGACAGCTAATCAATTGCAAATTAACAAAGCTGAAAGAGAAATAAAGAAAGTGAAGGACGAGGAGAAAATGGGTAGGAGAAGGGATGAGAAAGTGGTAAAAGAAGGAAGTAATAAGACGTTTTGATACTGAAGACTGGCAGCGATTTCAATGAGGTCTGACAGCTCATTTTACTGGTGCAGACAGGGAGCCATTTATTTCGATTTGAGGATTTTGGTCACATAGTGTTCCAGTGGTACTTTGAATTTGGGATTTTAGAAATGCATTGAGAACAACATTAAGTTAGTAATATAAAACTACAGTAAAGCTACTCCCTTATTCACAAGGTGTTGCCACAGCAGGTTGTTCCACGTGTTTGATTTTGCAGATTTTCATGCCAGGTTGTGTCAGAAAGGACATCGAGCCCGGCTCAAACCAGGGATCTTTTGCCTTATTAGACAAATGTGTAAACCACTACAGGATGGCAGCACTGTAATACAAAGTGACAGTATTTGCAATTTAAATCAGTAAGTATTTATAAAGTGTAAAACTTTCATATACATAGTTAAAAAGATCATCTGTTCAATCCTAAATTTCACTATGTAACAGTATTTTTACAGTAAAATTCATATTTGATGGTGAAAAAATGCAGTACCACAGTAACCACAGGAGCTGCACAAGATGCAAAGTTGGGTTTCAACCAGAAAAGCAAGGAGACCTGGTGTTGGTGAGGTTAACAGTTCACTTCAGGTTCATGTCATGACATTATCTGCTGCTAGTGTGAGGAGAGAGGAGAGGCAAATGATTTAGTCTGCCATGCTTAAGTAACATAAACATAAGTTAAATTAAACTCTTTTCTTTACCTTTTTAATCTTTACTAATGCTGTGGGGATGGTTTTTTTCAATTGTGAAAAATAATTAATGATAATAGTTGATTTATTACATGCATTAGCTAAAAACTTATTAAAAATACAACAGTCCCTAATGCATGGGTCCCAGGGTGGGAGGGTGTCGAATTTAAGGCCTAGAAACAATAACTGTGTGGTAATAACAGCAGAGAGTTCACAATCCAAGTCAGCTCCAGAATAAGCCATTTTCACTTCCATTCCCTCTTTTATGTTGAGGAATGAACGATTGTTGTTCCACGTTTTTCAGTATATAGCTTGTTCAGGGCTTCCATTCTGTAAAAGTTGACCTGAATTTTTTTGTGTATTTTTATTATGTGTAGGTATGTCAATCTTATAACACCTACACAATTCATCTGAAACTAGGCTGCATCATGTAGACATTATTTTACGGCAACAGAGAAAGCCACGTAATTGGGGGAACAAAAAGATTTATACATGTGGCAATGAGCCTTGTCAGTATTGGTCTGGTGAAAATTAATCAGGCTTTTGAATGTGTGGTTCTCTTCTCTATTGTAAGGCAGGGTCTTAGTTTGTGTGTATGAAAGAAACTTGTATCTCCCCACCACTGCCATAATCTCTGAGAGAGAGAGAGAGGTTGCTCTACAAAATCATAAATGTCTCAAACGAATTGCACTTAAGAAATTAAGTTTTTTAGTTATGTTATCACACACGTGCTGCTGCTATTCGGGACATTCTGCAAAACAGGCATGCATTTAGTGAGCTGAACAAAATACAGTCAGGCAGAGACATGCACTGCTGTGAGTTTGTGCATATCCTGATTTCACGCAGTTCAGACTTGAAAGTAATATGTAAATGTTAATTGGCCAAACCCAGTAAGTAAAGCAAATATGACCGGGGTGCTCATTCAAACATGAAGCTGAGACATTTTTATGCTGTCAGTTAAAGGGAGGAGTGCACGAAAGGGGCGCACATGTCAGACTGAAAGATGGAAGGAAAACTTTACATTAAGTGCTCCTTTCCTTTGAACTGTTTGTAACCTATCTGTATAGCACCCTTTGTTTTTCTTCTCTGTTTTTCTCCACTGATCTAGCTGTTTCTTACACACACCCACCCACATACACACACATACAGAGTCACAAAAGAGAGTAGCTTTTATATGGTGGGGTCCATTAGGTGTATTAGCTGGTGGTGAAAAGTGGTGCTGATGTGGTGCTTACAAAGCTCCACAGGGGAGATGGACATTTGATCTTCTTTCTGACCCAATCTGACTCCAGGGCTCTTGCCTGATCTAATTTCTTTTTTGTTAGGAGTTAAAGTGGGGCTTGTGGGGCTGTTTTTCCTCTCATATTCTTCTTCTTCTTATTACTCTTTTGGATAAAAATTCAACTAAAAAAACAAAACAGAACACGTTTTCTCTGTCACTAGCTTAGTTACCACCCCATTATCACAAAGAGATTTTTTTTAAAAGAAAACAGATAACAAGTGGATTATTTCTGGCAAATAATGAAATAATAAGTAAGAATTTCTGCAGAAGTCAATTTTTGTGGTCATGAAATTCAATAGCTCAGGAAGATCACACCATTAGTTGCATTTTCTCTGTATTGTTGAAGTTTGATGTTGCAAAGCTACTGATGAAAGATATTTTCTCTTTTTTTTTTTAACTGGTAGAACATTTCTGCACCGACTCACATACAGGTTCAAAGAAAAATCCAGTACCCATGATCTCAGGGGTTGCTGCTGTTTTATGTGACTGCAGACTCTTAACTAGCAAAAGGCTCCATAGATTGACTTAGTTTGAGTCCCAACCTCAGTGCAATCTCTGGCCAGTTGTTTCTTATTTTTGTCAACAAGGTGAATACTGCGTGTTAGAGCTGGGCCCTGATCATTGCAGAAACAAATTCTCCAGGTTTGCACGAACTGCAGGACATTTTTTTGGGAAAAAAGGGAGCCTTGCTTTTTTTGCTTTGGTCTCTTCAGGGTGAAAAGACGTGTTGGCCGAACGGCCTGACATCCCTGCACTCTGGCCGCCAGACACAATATTTTGCCATTG